CAACCAGGCACTTTTAAATGCGCTCGTGCACGATGCAAAACGTGTCCTTTCATTCACAACACTGATAAAATATCGGGACCTAAACGATCCATTAAGATCACCGATCACTTCACGTGCACCTCCGCTAATGTAATCTATTGCATAACTTGCACTTATTGCAAAAAGATATACATCGGCGAAACAGGCAGAAGACTAGGTGACCGATTCCGAGAACACCTTCGAGACGTGGAAAGGAATGACAAGGACACATCTAAACCAGTCGCTAGACATTTTAATTTACCTAATCATTCTAAGCAACATATGGCAATCTGCGGTCTTTCCTTGCACTTAGGTGGCACGGAAAGCCGTAAAAATCTTGAACAAAAGCTCATCTTTCAAACCGGCAGTCTAAATCCCACAGGGATCAATGAACGCTTTTCATTCCACTAATTTATTCATGTTTTTCTCGTTGCCATGCACCCACCAATAACGTAGCTCCATTTTCTGCCTTTAAAAGCACACACAACCCACAATTCCTCTATTCGCTCCGACGAAGGGCTAACGCTCGAAACGTCAGCTTTTGTAATCATTACGGTGGCCAATTTACCATTTCAACCTTGTTGATATATCCAAATTATTAAGATAAAGAAGGTTGACATAATGTCTTCAGCTTTAGCATGTTTTATCCAAACTGCAAAACATCTTAGCAACACGTTTAGCTTTGGGAAGTACGCTCGAATGTCTTATTCAACCAAAAACCAAGTCTCCATTAAATAGCCATTAACCCATTGTTTTTTTTTTTTTTTTACCACAACGGGATGTATAAAAGAACTCTCCCACGAAAACGTGAACGTTGTGCAAATGTGGACAGAGAAAAAAAATTAATTGAGATATAAATAGTACACCCGAGGAGTTTTCCACGTCTAGAAATTGTTATTGCTTAGCCCGGTTCTCTTTTGCCCCAGAATTGCTGCAATATGTCGGCTAAGCCGGCAATATTGTTTAGTTCACATGCTGTGAGTAAAATTATAGAAAGAGAGCTTTATCAGGTACTTACATGAATGAAACAGGACTACCATCTCTGATGTAGATGACGCCTGATATTCTGCCAGAGGAAACTACGTCCTCTATAAAAATAAACTTGCCCTTCTTCCTGACGAGGACAACCTCTGCACACTGTGTCTTAACGTACGACTGAATTTAAACAACTGCGCACTTTATTTGCAAGGCAACTTCGGTGAATATTCATTAAGAATACGGGCTTTAATGACACGTCGATTTAAATGTGCAGTTGCAACCAATTAAAAGTAGAAACCAGCTAAGTAATTGTAAATATAAACTAAGAGCAGTTCCTCCTTTTCGGCGAAATCGGTCGAGCTAATCGAAAAAAAAACTGTATTAAAAAAAATTGATGTTAGCGCCCTGACACCATTTTACTTTTTTATTAATTTTTTTATTTTGACCCGTGGGACGGTCTTCGCCGAAAAGGAGGAACTGCACTTAGTCTATTGTCACTGTGTTTAAACAGCTGCAAGAATTCGACGGCTTTCCACGGTTAACTAAATGGGGAGATAATTTCGTTAAGACAGAAAAACCGGGTAAAACCTGAAATGGCTTATTTAACTTAGCAAATCTTTCTTTTGACAGTTGCGTTTTGGCTTTTTTTTTTCACCTGTCCTCTGAAATGCGTTCTTCAACACATTCTTTTTGACATGTTCTCGAATATTTTCCAAATTCAAACGCACCCGAACGCTAATAGAATCGACAATGTGACATGCTTTCTTTTTCTGAAGCCTCCGTTTTCACCTGTCAATTTTTCAAATAGACCATCGTCAAAACGCTGTGTTCAGTTTCAAAACTGAAACCTTTTTTCGAAATCTCCATCTTCTCTGGTGTTTTCAGGAGTTAAACAGTGAGTGTATGATACGCAAAAATGCACCACAAACACGCGTTTTTAAATAGAAACAAGCCGACGTGAGTGCTGCCTTCTTATGGCTGTGCGTAATGCTCGGCGCTCCAATGAGGTTGGTCCTTCTTTTGTGATAAGAATTTTTTTGTTCAAAATGTGGGGTGTATTCGGATGCAGGGCGCTTACAAGAAAGTGCAGTTCACCGGAGGAGTTTCCTATGGCTAAATTTCTAACCAAATGTCATAATACGCTTCCGGAGTTTTGAGGGTCAATAAATGTACTCGGTATTCGGTCATCTCGTCAGCGAAACACCTTCCCCCCTCCCCTCCTTCGCCAGGCGCCTCACTCGATGCCAGTTCCTCCTCAGCCGTTTCAACCAGAGCCTCTAGTTCCCAAGATGTTTGAGGCATCCCGTCAGAATTTTTCATTAAAATTATGACATTAATGTCTTCATTTTCTGGCGGTGAAATTTCGCTAGGGAAAAGCTTCGAGAAAGATCAAAAGCAGTTTCCTTGGTTATTAGGTCAATTTTATCTGTCGTAATGCAAAATTTATCTAACTCATATAAAAATTAAGGCGAACGAATTCTCTCCTCGCGCTCCTCACAATTCATTTTAAATATCCGTTATAAGGTTCGTGGAATGTCTGATTTGAATTTTAAATGTTACACTGTCCACATTTATTTATTTGAGCGTTTGAGAATTGGTTCTGAAGTATTTGTCGCTCCTCGGACGCGAGTTACAGCCGGCAAAGGCAAGTTATAAATCAAGTGGTGAAGTGACAGAACTCTTGTATACTTTTGAACTCATTTTGAGAGCTCTATCTTATTTTGTGTTCAAAGGATGACTGTTTATACATTAGCTCAATGAGATAGGTATTTAGTCTGCGTTGAGTCAAGGTTCTCTGGAATATCTAGAATTACCTCTGTTAAAGTAATTTTCTTTCAATACTCCAGTTACTTATTTCCTGAAGTATTTTCTTGCCAAATTTCGTAAAAATTTTAATGAGTGGCTCTCAATCGCAATTTTTTGACTAACTACGCATGCACTGCAGTTAACTGGGTTCTTTCGGTAACAATGAAAAAGTTGAGAATTGCTGGGTTCTTTGCAATAAAATATTAGATAACATATCTTTGTAATAAAAGATTAAAGCTATCAATACACTGCGCCAACTATAGAGAAAAATATCACAAATAGTGCGGGTACGTGTTGAGTAAATAAAATGACCGCTCTATTGACGGCTTGTTTGTTTTTTGCAATCTTTGTGCGCGCGCTGAATTGCATCACCAAAACCGCGCGCGAAAACTGTGTTCGGCCACCTTAACATGCGCAGCAAATGGCATTGCGGACTCGAATCTCCATTACGTAAGTCGGAATGGAAACGGAGAAGGTAATGCGCGCGCTCAATTGAGTGTGTAACTCAGAAAACCCCATTCGTGTAATCAGTTGTTCATTGCAGACTTAGGCTTAGCACGAAAGCTCCACGCGGGCTAGTATGGATGTGAAGCCGCGCCAACACGCGTATTTGGCGGGAATCATTCTGATTACCAATAGGTGGTAGTTTGAAACACATTTGATCCTCGTTTGCAGTGTTTCAGTTTGCAATTGTAATCAGCCTACTTGCAAAACAACAATAATTATCGCTGAAGCCATGTCAAAGGGAAGAAATCATTTTAATTCACGATCGTGGTGAAAGGATTTGAATGTAAATATGCAGGAAAGAGGGAGGAGAAGTAACGGTTGCGAGCCAGTCGGGAAAACGGAACGCGGAAGAGGAACGACATGAAAAAGAGGGCAGGAATACGACGGGAAGAACGCGAAAGAGGACATGAAAAGGCTCATATGAAAGGTGAATATCTGGCGGAGAGCAACGTGAAAAGGAAAGACAAAGGGCTCCAGAAAACAGACTGAAAAGAATTCAACAACAAAGAGAAAACGAACCGCAACGGAGCCGAGAAAGAAGAGGAGGTAAGTTGAGTCTCATCCGAGGTTTCTCCCATACTAAGGCCCAAAAAAACTGAAAAACTTTTTATTAATCATCGTTTGATACTAGCTTCACGTTCATTCTTTGCTGTTTTATGAAGGCAAACATTTACTAACGTTCGGGTAAAAATTATGTGGCATTCTTTGTTTAAAAATTTTCGCCCCGGTTCATCAGTCAACGACATTTCAGACTGTTTTCACTCTCCAAATGATTTCGTTTAGAATGTTTAATTAAGTCGTGGTGTTAAGGGAATAAAAATTAACCTAACCTACGGCTTATTTCCTCGCGAAATCTGGACATGCGTTTTTTCCTTAAAAGTTTCCAAATAATAGCGAACGGCGTCAGCAAGCTTCCACCATTTGCTCCTCAGTTAACACTTGTTATTCATTTAAAAAAAAAAAATCACACTTTAGTCGTAGATGCGTGTTTTTTACCCTAAGAACTGAGGTAATGGCCGTTCCGAAAAATTAAACTGAAATGGCGTTGAGTCAGCGATGTTCATGCTTACAGGATGTCATGTAAGAACCCGTCAGACTTCCCCTAAAGTGTGATGCAAACAAACTCGCGGGTTTCACAGATTTAGTGAACTGCATTGTTTGAACGTAGTCATTTTCATCGCTATGTTTCTATGCTTTCTACTCGATTCGTTCAAACTACAGGAAATGGTTTATCTCTCAAAGTATGGGGCAACTTTCTCTTCGCACAACATCTCAAGTAAAAAGTACTTGATGTTTGGGTTATGATAAACTTGCTTGTGATTCGGTTATTTTTCCTCTAAAGTTAGAAGTTACTGAATCAGTCTTTGAAATTGATAGTCATCGCATTTTGCAAGAAGCGTCCGAGCTGTGATCACGTATTGAAAACGGATTGAGTTCTTGCATTACGCTCACAAGCACACCGGTTAACCACATGGTGAGCTTAAGAATAGTTGTATATGAGAACGATCCTTCGCAGTAAAGCACTATTTGAGCAATAGTGAAAATCAGACCTGAAAAAAATTTCAGGCCTGTACGGGATTCGAACCACTGACCTTTAGTGCTTTACTGCGAAGGGTCGTTCTCATATACGTCTCATAACCGCAGTTCACACATATGTTTCATATGTTTGTTGTTGTTAAGAATAGTTGTTGTTTACAGTTTTCAAATTCAAGAGCCTGCAGCTTTTCACATTGTCAGTTCACAACTCATACAACCATCTAAAACCACCTAAAACCACCTACAACCACCTACAACCACCTTCAGAATACTATTGTGTGACAATGTGTGACAATTTAAATGCACACCGGAAATGTTGTCGCATCTCTCGCATGTCCTGACCAGGGAAAAACACCAAGAGAATTTTTTACACGTAGTTACTAAAACAAGGAATGACCTACAATGAGCTACCGTGGGTTCAAGGAATGACCGAAAATGATCCACAATGATTTACAATGACCTACAATGAGCTACAATGACCCACAGGGAGCTATTATGAATGTTACGAAAAATTGTGGCGTGGCTTGCGTGACTTTCTAGCCCCATGATGGTGTGATGGCCTTTTTTTTTTGCTGTCTAAAAATATCAATAAGTTAAAGGTGTTGGCAGGCCAAATACGTCTCATAATAGTCTCGCGGCGCTATGATACGTGACCTTATTAATGGTTTTGATATGAAATTATCAATGAGTAAAAGGTGTTGACAGGCCAAATACGACTCATAGCCTCATGATAGTTAGACTTTCTCAAAGTCGTTCGCTTGGTTTTCTGTTCTGGTGTGGTTGGACTCGCACTTTCGCTCGCTATCGCTCGCTCTGCTCAACTCGCGTTTCGCACTCGCGTTACGCGTTCAAAAGCGCGACTTGTGAGCAAGTCTACATGATAGTGTAAAATTATGGAAGGCTTGTTATATAAGACCCCCAAAGACATCTTAAGCCAAAGGTTTTTCGCATTTTTTTATCATTATCGTCATTAGACATGTCTCATTATAATACACTGTAAATTTATCTCCAAGCTAGAAATTCTGTTATCAAACACATTACGTTAATGCACACGTCTCCTGTTTTTTGGTTTTTTTTTTTTGCCTTTTTTCTAAAATCTTCATTTACTTCATTGCAGGGATCTTACAGTAGCGCACTGTAGGTCATTGTAGGTCATTCCTTGTTTTAGTAACTACGTGTAAAAAATTCTCTTGTTTTCCCTGGTCATGACATGCGAGACATGCGAGACATGCGACAACATTTCCGGTGTGCATTTACATTGTCACAAATTATCACACAGTATTCTGAAGGTGGTTGTAGGTGGTTTTAGGTGGTTTTAGGTGGTTTTAGGTGGTTGTAGGTGGTTTTAGATGGTTGTAGGTGGTGGTTGTAGGTGGTGGTTGTAAGTGGTTGTAGGTCATTCCTTCTTTTAGTAATAGTACGATGGATTACTGCGTAAACTGTCTCAGAATGTGCCGCACCATTGCTATCTTTTAGATACCCTTGTAATGGTATCAATAATGACAAGTATAGATAATGGTAATGATCATGGATGTTGATGATAATAATACAAAAAGAGAAAATTTATTAGTTATTGGCTTTAAAATGATCTTTGATTGAGTGAAAACACCTTTTCGCCCAAGATGAAACCAGGAATTAGCTGAGAGGGAAGCCTAAATAGAAAGGATGTCTAAATACGTGTAGCTCACGTAGTCTTTGAAACATCAAACATTTTATTTATCGGTCTCATGTGAAGTTTTTTCCGACATAAAGCTGGCTTATAGCCATGTTGTCCATGGCAGAACACGCGGCATGTTGAAACAGGAAGTTGACAGCCGAGCAAAACGCATCAGCTGGCTGTTCGCTTTTGAAATTTAAAAGGCAAAAAGTCACGCAGTGATCAAAAATACCTTCTTGGGTATTATTCTCTTAAACGTCGGCCAAATACTGAATGTCTAAAATGCATTAATCCGGCTACGATTGTCGAACTTGAACTTGAAACAACGGAGCAGTTGTTCTTCGTCCTGCCGGGAAGGTCGATTTTAATCATGAAAAGCTTTGATTCAGACATATCCTACCACAAAAATGATTGCGACTTACGTTTCTGGTTGCCAATATTTTTACTTAAAACTAATAGAATGCAAACTCTAGGTCTAGCATCGTTTCAGGTTTAAAGGAGGACTTAAGTTCAAGCGGAACTGATTTATTTAAAATCGTTATTCCTGACTATCAAGTCAAGAACAGCCAAATGAGAACCAGGAACAGCGAGAAAAATATTCCGTTTTTAACTCACCAGTGAAATTTCAGGCTTCCGAATTTAAGTTAGGGGTGAAACGGGTCTACTTAAATTTCATTCACACGTGATGTTTTTTTGACTTAGGATAAACAGGAACATGATTTTAGCAAGGGTTTTCTTCCGTGACAGATGAATAAGCGAATCTGTCAACACCTTAGCTTTTTCAGCTTTTCGCTGAAGGACTGAAGGAAGCATTTTCATTCTGCCGAGGGTTTGATCTAAACATGACGAACGTTGTCACCGCGGCGTTGCGATTTGCAATATTTTTGCTAGGTATAGGGTGTACTGAAGCCAAAAGGTAATGTAAATTGGGTTAATTTTATGGTTATTTATACTAAACTGTAAACAAATCTGACGTGTGCATTTATTCGTAACTGTTGCTCGGTAGCAATCGGGAGAAAAGTATTTTAAACAAACGATGTTCTTAACATGCACTTTTTTCATTGTTTGTAAATATTATCTCACAAGAGAGAAAGCCGTTTGATTCGTTTACATTTCGTAAAATGTTTTGTACCCCGCAAAGTTTTGCAAGGGTTGAGCTTGGAAAACATGTCATAATTGTGCAACAATGAAGTCGGATTGACTTTATCTGTAGTTGAATCATAAGTCGTCTATCAAGTTGACTCTAGCGACTCTGATTTCCAGTGCTTTTCCCGATTCTTGATCTAAGGGGGTAAGTTTGTAGAGAAGTTGTGGTATGTCGGTGGGGGTTTTACAAGATAATTTGGTTTTATCAGCTAATGTGATGATAATGTAAAATGGCCACCGGAAAGAGTTTAACGCAGACGTTTCGAGCGCTAGCCCTGCGTCGCAGCTTGATCTGGTTTCGGACCCCTAAAAGAGAAGGAGTTTGACCCCACTTCCGATTAATAAATTTCATGACTTAAACATAAATTATGTAAACTAGTCATGGTGACAGCGAGAACATTTCCAGTGTTGGCTCCTTGCTATGTCATTATGTGAAGAATATTCGAATAATTATAATGTATCAATTTTATGATTTTAGTGGCGGAGTAGTATGCGCATGCAACTTCCACTTCAGAAATGAAAGTTCGATTTTTCCCTTTTGTTTCAGTGACACTTTCATTCAATGTTGTTCGATCGTCTTCTACTTGTTCGATCGGCTTCTCTTTTTTAATTCGTTCTTTTACTTTGTCTATGAATTTTCCTTAAATGAATATTAGTACATAACGTTATGAAAGGTATAAGGTAAAATTCCAATACATTACTGGCGTGCTTAAGGAACAGGAACAAAAAGTCTGCACCCTCTCTCTCCGTATGGGGCGCTTGAACGGGCCGTTCGATATGAAACGGTCGGTGGTAGCAGCGAAAGTAACTTTTCAATGAACTCTGCATCGCGATAATGAAAATATACAGCTAAAAAGGTGGAGATGAAGACTGAAAGCTACTAGTTCGCTCTGCCAAAGGCATAGAGCTGGGAATCTCTGAATTCTCTAGATAATTGGACTGATGGGAATGAAATCGTTCGTCATTAATCAGATTTTCGAAAAAAATGTCAACATGCATGTTATCGAAATCTGAGACGCCGGGGGGGCATGGATATAAGGCTATAAAGCGACCTACCATAAAGAACTTCTTCCTGACCCTAGTCTGTCTGGTTTACGAGCAGTACTGAGTGTTCATCAGAATATCGTAATCACGTCAATTAGCTAAAAATGTCTTACCTCTGTTTACAGCCAACAAAACATTTCATTTCTCATACTTGCCATCGTTATCATTGCAGGTTTTCCATAATCGCTCCCAGTGTGTTTCACATTGGGGTAGAGGAGAACGTTTCCGTTGCGGTTTACGATGCCATGCAGCCTGTAACAGTTAAGTTATATCTGCAGGATTATCCATTCAGACGGAAAACATTCTCCCCAACTGAAGCCACGTTACAACCAGGAAAAGGTAGGACGAAAACGTTGCAGCCGGTCTTTTTTTATTTGAATCGTTGCCGAGATGTGAATGCCCCAAAAAAATTAGCTTTCAAAACCTGACGGCGAAAGCCTTGGCCAGGTGAGATGGAAGCAAAAATTGCGCGAGAGTCTCAAAAGAGGAACAGCATTTTCTTGGAAAATGAGATTCTAAGACGCCTCTTTATCGGATAGATGACCAAGTCTCGCCATTTTGCAGCGTCGACACTTCAAGATAGAAATTTTTAGAAAGTTTTGGGACTCAAAGCCACTTTGATTAATGGCTTTCCTGACAAAATGGCGAAGAATTAACCAAGTATTAAACACTTGTTCGATTTTTGTCTTATTTTTTAGGGAGCACCTCGTTCCTGACAGTCAAGGTAAGCTTTCAGTAGTATTTCGTAAGAAACGCTGGTATCTTTTAACGATTTTCTGCGTTTGGTGCTGTGATCGTGCGTATTTGAGGAAGCTTTAATAAAAGTCAGCCCACGCCCTAAGGTAACATTATAAAGAAATGATGAACTTTACAAACAATAAACACTCCATCAGTGACGGAATTAACGATAAAACTTTATAAGTACTTTAAATATTTCTGTAAAACGGATTTTAACACGTGCTGTCGTATAAATGTTTGAAACTTTAAAGTAGTGTTCTGTTTGATACTTCTGTTATTACGAGAAGTTCCTGCGAACTAAGTTTTGAATTGATTTGATTGGAAACAAATTCTCAACATAGTGTGTATTAGGAACCATTCTAAGAATGAATAAAGGTGGCAAGTTTCTAAAGAAACTGTGGTGCCGCATAGGTGGGGGAGAGTAACAAGATAACTTGGTTGTAGCACCTGAGTTAAATATATCTTATTAACCAAGCGCGAGGGCCGTACTGGGAGAATATCGACCCAAGGTCTTGACAGTACAGACCTCGTTGCGCTCGGTCCGTACAAAAAAGGCCGAGGGCCGATATTCTTCCAGTGTGGTCCCCAGCAAGCTTGGTTAATAAGAGATTTATTATACGGCTGTGGTATCATTCGGGACCACTCGGGACAGTGCCCAGTCCAATACTGAGAGAATATTGACCGGCAATTTTGCATTTTGATTGGTTGATTTTAGTTATTGGTCCTCTGACTGCCCGAGTCGTGTAATAATAATGTAAATTGGCCACCGTACGCGTAAAGGTTTCGAAGCTGACGTTTAGAGCGTTAGCTCTTCATCAGAGTGAAAGAGAGACATTATGCTCGCCGCCGGCGTTTCTGACGAGTTACGAAGGGCTAACGCTCGAACCGTCCGCTTTAGAAACTGTCTATAGTGATCAATTTACACTATCAGCTCAGTTGATAAAACCAAATTATTTCCTAAGATTGGGCTCTGTCTAAAAGGGCTTTCCTTTATTGATCAGACTACATTATTTATATTATTTACTTGTAATTGCTTATTCTTGTATTTCAAGGTGGAACCAGAGAACCTTCCCAATATCAAGTCGGTAGATGTGCAGTATGTTTACCTTGTCGCCAAATCAGATGATGGCCATTTTCAGTTCCACAAGGAAGCAAAGATCCTACTCAGCTACAAGAACGGAATGGTGTTCATACAGACTGACAAACCTATCTACACACCAAAACAGAAAGGTAAGACGTATGTTGCCATCGCGAATGAACTGACGTTGAACCAGCAGAACAATCTTTGATACAGAACCGTTTATTATTGAGCGATTCATGAAGTGTTCGTTAATCTTGAAGAGACCTTGCGGGGACACGGAGACACTTAGCCCTTTCCACCTTTACATCAGCTTTACACGAGAAGGATTTGTTTAACAATTAGGAGCTTCTTAAATTGCTGATCAGTTTTCTTCATTCTCACGACTTTTACATTTGATTACTGTTAGGAGAAATTAAAAGCCCGAGAAGGCTTTTAATTTCTCTGTTTCTTTTTTCTCTTTTAATTTCTCTCTTCTTCTTTTTTAATTGACTCTGAAGGGTCAAGGGTTGAGAAAATAATGCAAACTCTATCTGCCTCCCATTACCACACAGAGGTATACCTTGTATTCCTCTTTTATAATCAAACATTTCCGTGGGAGAACAGATTCCCTCGTCACTATAACTTTATCTTACTGAAAACAATTGTGAAAATATCGTTTTTTTTCCATGGAGGCAGGGATTTCTCCGCCACTCGAGCAGAGAATCAGATTCGAATGGATTCTAAAAGTAGCCAATCAGGAGAGTGAGCAACAAACATTTCGTTCCAGCGTGCCACCAGCAATGCACACTAAAATGTTTCACTTGAATGACGAATGATTGAACACAACTCTGACGAGAAGTAATGTAGATTTGTGTCCATAACACTGCATGATTACTTAGCATAATTTACTTTTTTAAAAGAAACTTGACTTTGCTGAAATATTTTGAATATTCTAAATTTTCTAACTTACATGCTAAGAGGGACTTCTGTTTGTTATCGCTCCCTTTGCTCAAATAAAATTCTCTGCCACATATTACAAGTCAGCGATTATCTTTGCATCTTTAAAATAAACACATTACAGCGTGGTAACTGATTTGAGCGATTTTTATTCAGTAGTTTATATATGTCAGGAAGCTCATTTCACCGCATAAAATCAGCTCTTCGCTGCGCTACGTCGTTCGTTTCCGATACTTCTTAACTCGTGAATAGGGATTGGATGCGTGCATTTTCCACGAAGTAATTTTTTTATACGGTCTTAACTCCCTCTATTGATTTATCAGTGTTGAAATTGCCTCACGTTCTTTCCTGCAGTTCTTATCAGGGTGTTTCCGCTCCAGTTCAACACGAAGCCCTCGGGAAAAAATGTAAGAGCTTAGCAAAACGACGTCTTGAAAACTACATTTTATTTTGACCGGATTGCTTTCGTTTAAACTTAAAAAGAGAATAGTGCGCTTTTTTTTTTTTTTTTGTCGAGTTAGATCAAGAAGTATCTTATGAGAACTCAAAGTGAATTCCCCCATTTAAACCTACTTGTAGCTGAACTGGGCCAGTCTGGTTAATTATTGTCCATTATTAAATAAAGTGCCTTTGAATGTAGCCTCAAGTTCGGCAAAAAGAATCTGACCCAGACACTGTCTACCATTTGGCCAGCCTGATTGTGGCCTAAAAGAAAAGAGGTTGTATCGCTGAAAAATGTAGTGTTCAAGTTGAAAACATTACATTTTATTTAAGCCTGGGGATGTCTAGTATTTCAAAATATCAGCAGACTGTCATTTCTCAGCTATGAATTACTTTGACTGTACATTATTTCCAGTACCTTAGTTGTGACATAATCATTAGACTCTGCTATGGTGATCATTTTATAATTATTGTCACTAAACTGCAAACCTTACGTTTCCGCCATGCTACTGGGTAAACTTTTTCATCGCTTTAGACCAAAACGTTATTAGAAAGTGATAACCTCTCATATTTAAAGCTGACTAGTTTGACCAATGGCAAGCAAGATTGGGGTAATGTCGACCCAATATAAACAGATCTTCAGTTCTGCGATATGAATTCATTTGTAACTAGCTGTTTCCTTTTCTCTTTCCCAACAGATAACCTTGATGGTCCTGGTAAGTTTACTTCGATAGTAAATTAATTCTCCATCAGAAATAATTCTCCATCAGTTGCTTTGTTTAAAAGCTCGCAGCATCGTGGATGTCTTCTTTAATTATATCGCATATTAGAGAGATTTAGACCGCGTGACCTTGTTTTTCTCCGCCATTATTTCACGTCTGCCGGTTGCGCTTTGCCGTTTCTACGTGAAAGTAACCCGATTCGCGTTTGCCGTGTAGGTAAGATTTTCTTCACTTTTTCTCTCACAGAGCAGAAGTTAATTTCCAGAAAAAGGGCACCAAAACTATTCCTTATAATTCATACGAGAGTGCCTTCAAATTCAGCATGACGTGAACTCACGCAGCAAGGTTCGCGCTATTTTACTTTAACGTGAAGTGGCGAGCTGACGTTAGCCGTTCCACGTAAACGCAGTGCTAAATTTCTCTATCATTTAATGCAGAATCCGCAAGGAGTCAAAGTGAAGCAGTGGAAGGACCTTGAAACTAGCACAGGTTTGAAAAGACCCTTTAGTCAATGAAATTATCATGTTAATGCTTATGGAAACTCACCAACACATACTACGTGTCAAAATCATGTTACATCTTCAACTCTCTACACCCCTATATCAGTATGCATACTGTTGCTGTAGAGTATTTTAAAGGATTGCTATTTCGAGTATTTTTTAGGTTAACCTTTTGTTTTGTTAAGTCTCGCTTTTTGTGTCCACGCGCTGTTTTTGTAGTTATTTTGCCTTGACCTTATGTTTCTAGTATGTACTTAAACTATTCTTAGTCCACAGGTTTTTCTTGTTACCTTGTAAGACTTAATAATCGCTTGTTGTGGTTGGGAATAATTAGTTTCATAGGTGGTCATGTTTGGGTTGGTAAAACTGACCTTGAGTTTTACCCACACTGAAGATCCTGTTTTGTGCGCGTGATTCTCGTGCGCAGCTCGTTCATTGGCGTTTAATTGGTTCCTTGGTGCTCGCCAAGTGCTCCGGAGCGAGTCACCCAATTTCCCCCTTTTGCAAAACAACGAATACACTGTGGAAACTCTCACGGTCAGCTAACCCAAACATGTCTACGGTTTTTCTACTTAAAGCGTTGTTTCCTCTCTCATGATTATGAGATGCGTAGACCATTAGATGCACGGAGTATTAAATGCATAGAGCGTTGCTGTAGTAGCTCTCCAGAAGAGAAGAAAAGAAGAAAAGTACAGAGTCTTCGCACCTCTTGTTAATTCGTCCAAGCGAGCTGTAAAACCCCCAACACTGTTCTCCAAATACTTCCTAAGGTGCTGACAAGGAGAATTTATATCACAATCAATCTCCCCGGGAGATTTACACAGGGGTTTACACAGGGGTACCCAAGGCTTGGGTACCCCTGTGTAAACAGCACCCTCATGAGCGACTTCCCCAACCTTTTTTTTTTCTTGCTGAAAAGGTATTATATCACAAGTACTTCTATTGAGCAATTTCATCATCCTGGGTAACTGGACAGTAACAGCTATATACGGCCATCAGGTATGCTTTTCTTTGCTACAGTGTTTAGAGCTTGTTTTTTGCACAATATCGTTTTCAGGTCACGGAATCACATGCCAACAAAGAGATCTAGGTTTAGAGAGTCCATACCCTATGATTGAAAGTGGCAATTTTTAGTGAAATGTCTAGCGTGAGACGGTATTAATGACTAGCATGTCCTGTACTAGCGTTAATGCGTGTGTGCCCGTATAAGCACTTCGTTGGTCACTTTCGCCTATTTCGTGGAAACATTTCGATTTTTAACTGGATTTTCAAGTTTTTGGGATGACTGTTTCCACGCTGTCAATGAACGAACACCAATTCCCACCGTCCTGCTTATAACGAAAATTGCGGACTCGTTTAGTACTATAATTTTTCTAAAAAAGTTCTCGATAAAAGTAAAGATCAGATCTAAATTTCATAAATATTTATAGGTTCTTGAAGGCACATGTTAAAAATATTCAAACATGTAAACATAAAAGTGAGAGCGAATTTTTCGACTTTGTCTCAGAATGTCAGTCCCACGCACTTTGTTCCTTTCTTTGCAGAATATTTACAACACATCTGTGCAATTCGAGGTCAGAGAATACGGTAAGTTTATGATTTCATTCCTCCGGGCTCCTTTTTCCCCCGATGACGTGGAATTCGTTAAGATTCTCTAATGATGTTGCAGTTCTTCCCAAGTTCTCCGTGAAACTCCAAGTGCCGCCTTACATACTGAAAACAGACAAAGAAATAAAGGTTCAGCTGACAGCCAGGTAATGTTGACTACTCAATGATTCATAGTTCGAATGCGAGCAACCATTTATGGTTCGAAATGAACTGATCGAGTATCAGATGGTGAATGACCGATAAAGCAGGTGAAGCCTATTGGGGACTATCGATCTCATATCAAACAAAAAAAGATAAACCATTTTATTAAATTAAATTCTCTACTTTTCTGCATTGTTGACGAAACACACATCATTTTGTTTCAATCCTTTATGTTTTCAAAACTGAGCCATGAATACATCTTTCGAATGGTCGACTAAAAAAAATTCTGAAATGATCACAGGATTGAAAAAGGGAATGGATATCGAATGCATCGAGGCAAATCTAAAAGCGTAACTGAATTCGAATAATACTTAGTTAAAGTTATTTATATGTTCCACCTCAATTCAAAATTTGTGAACGTTTCGCAAACGTTTTGTTATGTGGAGCCATTCGAGGGAAGCAGTTAGTGAGGGAGGGCCTTTTCCTTTCCCTTTTGCATCTTGCATTCCTCGCAGACAAGTGCGAACGCACCATTTAAAAACCTTGATTAAACATGTAGCAAGACGTTTTATGCTTCGAGCTTTTCGAGAAGCACTCTTCTCACCCTCGTGATCCTGGTAGAGCAGTTTGAGTGTCGGAAAATACAAAGTAAAAGTAATCCTAGCGACCAATGAAAACAAAAGTTTACATAAGTAAATAAAGGCTGATAGTTTCGAAAGAAACTGTTTGGGGCTGCGTCGGTGGGAGTAACGAAATAATTTGGATATATCAACAAAGTTGAAATGGTAAATTGGCCACCGTAATGATTACAAAAGCTGACGTTTCGAGCGTTAGCCCTTCGTCGGAGCGAATAGAGGAATTGTGGGTTGTGTGTGCTTTTAAAGGCAGAAAATGGAGCTACGTTATTGGTGGGTGCATGGCAACGAGAAAAACATGAATAAATTAGTGGAATGAAAAGCGTTCATTGATCCCTGTGGGATTTAGACTGCCGGTTTGAAAGATGAGCTTTTGTTCAAGATTTTTACGGCTTTCCGTGCCACCTAAGTGCGAGGAAAGACCGCAGATTGCCACATGTTGCTTAGAATGATTGGGTAAATTAAAATGTCTAGCGACTGGTTTCGATGTGTCCTTGTCATTCCTTTCCAAGTCTCGAAGGTGTTCTCGGAATCGGTCACCTAGTCTTCTGCCTGTTTCGCCGATGTATATCTTTTTGCAATAAGTGCAAGTTATGCAATAGATTACATTAGCGGAGGTGCACGTGAAGTGATCTGTGATCTTAATGGATCGTTTAGGTCCCGATATTTTATCAGTGTTGTGAATGAAAGGACACGTTTTGCATCGTGCACGAGCGCATTTAAAAGTGCCTGGTTGGTCATTAGTCTGAAAAGAACTTCTGACCAAAAAATTGCCTAAGTTTTTGTCGCGTTTGAATGAAATGAGCGGAGGCTGCGAAAAGATAGTGCCTGTCTCTGGATCGTTTTGAAGTAATTTAAAGTTTTTAAGAATGATGGATTTAACTGAGTGGTTGTGAGGGTGAAACGTGAGAGTGAATGGAATGCGGTCGGAATCTTCCTTATGCGACGTTTGTAGTGCTGAATGTCGATCAATAAGTTGAGCGCGGTGGTAACCCGCTTGAACGATGGAAACAGGGTAACCACGTTCATCGAAGAACTGGCACATTGACTCTGATTTGTGGTGAAAATCAGAGTCATTACTACATAAACGACGAAGTCTTAGAAACTGAGAAAAAGGAATGGAATTCTTAACGTGAGATGGATGAGAAGACGAATATAACAAGTAATTATGCGTGTCTGTAGGTTTGTAATACACACTAGTGCATAAACCGTTACCTTCAATTGAAACTTTGACGTCTAAAAAGGATAAAGAATTGTCAGAAATTTCCCAAGTATATTTCAGAGCCGGGTGAAAAGAATTGACTGCAGTTATGAATTGAGTGAGCTCCTCTCTGGTAGAGGAGGTAGCGCCGATACAGTCGTCGATGTAGCGACCGTAGAGTTCGGGTTTGGACCCGTTGTATCGGCTGAAAAATTGGTGTTCGACAAAACCTACAAAAAGATTGGCATAGCTAGGTCCCATTTTGGTGCCCATGGCTACACCATTGGAAGATTTCAAAAAGAGGCCTAAAACAGGCACTTTATAGCACCCCCACTAAACAAAAAGGTTTAACATCGGAGTATGATAGGTTGATACCCAGAGATCATCGCTACGTGAGTTGTCCTAGTCAAAAATTGTGGAGTCAGTGACTTGCTACATACTGATTATTAAGATGGTAGGGGTTACTTTTGGAAATATCAATATTGATGGGCTCAGGAGCGTTTTTAGCAATATCTCCGAATATTATCTATTTTTTTGGTAGGGGGAGGGGAGAAGTGGAGTAACTTTTGCAATTACTTAATGTGGGATAATTGTGGTCTATTAAGCCGTTACCATATTTTTTTCTTAACGATTTGCAGTAAAAGGAACGATCTTAATCTTTTCTGTTTCTTACTCCTTAATAAATATTGAAAAGAATAAACGGCAGATGATGTTGGCTCGAAAAATACAAAGCTTATGCAACAAATATGTTACAAAAAAAAGACAAGTGAGGAATATTGTTTATCCCATTCGAGGTTCGTAAAGATGTTGAAGTTTTCTTAGCCAACCAGTTACCAATCTCCTCAGGTACATCTTAGGTACATGACAAGATATTCAGTTAAATACATGTAACATATTTGATGCTTCCAAAAACACTTCACCCCTAAGAGCAAGTCACTGGCCACCGCGACTCGTGTATCGATTATCTCTGGGTATCAGGCATTCATAATCCAATGTAAGACATTCTTCTATCGAGAGTGCTACGAGGTCGACTTTTTCTGGTTTCCCCTCCTCGACTATAACCAGTGTAAACTCATAAGGAAACCAAGTAGATTGTTCGAGCGCAGCCGTAAGTGTGAATGACCGAGTCGCGATTGTTTTAGGTTTTGAGTCTGATTTGTTGGGAGGATGGCTCAAGTTTTTTGGATCATTTGCAAAGTTAAACAAAACCAAAGCAATCCTCAATCAGAAATTGCTGTAGAGAGTTACCCTTAGTGGCAAATTCATTTTGAGTGAGCGTAAAGATCAGCCTAGTTGAGAGATACACGCATACTTAATTAGCTATACTTGAGTTTGCCACTGTGCATAGGAAGAAGTACTTGACATATCACAGCCCTCTTATGCTGTTTCATCTATGCATTTTCTTTTCCAAGGTACACCTATGGAGAGCCGGTTGTCGGGGCTGCGAATGTCTATTTGAGCATTGCTTTGAAAGGAAAGGTTATTCCGATTGCTACTCACCAAGTATTGGTGAGTGATTTTATTTTAATTCATACATAAAAGGTTCTTTGGTGAAATGAAGTCATGAAAAAGTAGCTCAGTGATCATATTTACTCGACATCGTATAATTATCCATACTAATTTGGTGTTGAAAGTAAAATATGAGTGCTACTGTAAAAATCTACCACTTTGCAATAAGCAAGATCAATGTTAGTCTCTAAGCAACTGCACAGCTACTTCGAGCTATTCCTCTTCTAACCCGACAAGGCCAACAACTGCCAACTGATAACAAGTTTAGGATAATGCTGGGTGAGGGAAGATGTAGGGAGGCAGTTGCTCAGATATTGACATTAACCCTAGAAACTAATGGCTTGGACGGATGATGCCTGTCATGGTAAGTAAGCTTTTACACTACACTGTCAACTTTCCTCTCACTGTTCCTTTCTCTTGTTGATTTGTTGGATTAGCTTGGCGAAGGTACTGCCGCAGTGGAAGAAAGGGTAAAATTCATCAAAGAAAGGGCAGGAGAAATCTGGTTCCCAGAGGGTGGCAGGCTTCATGTCCAGGCTGACGTCATAGAACGGGCGACTGGTGAAAAGGAGACTGCGGTGGATAAATCGAGCAAGTTTACATCAAACCCCTACTTGGTCGAGATCATAGACACTCCAAAGTACTTTAAACCTGGAATGCCTTTTACTGTGAAGGTGATATACACAGGAAAAAATTGTAACATTTTATGTTCTTAAATTTACAACTTAGGTATACGCATAAAGTGAATCAGTTGGGGGTGTGTTTCTTCTTCTTGGTTCTCTATCGCTGATATTGGTGTCACAGAATGGAGTAAATGATTAACAGGGGTGTGCTGCGGCTAGATATTAAAGCGTTTATAAGGCCCCTTACCGTTATCTTTTGAGGTACCATTAACATAATTTGTTTGAAGAGTATCTCGTTCACAGCCGTCTCTTTCACCACTAGTAATCTCTCCTGGAAAAGCTATCGGAATCTTGCATTTGCAAGCCGCTTATAAGTACAGTAATTTGTCATGATTCAATTTCCACTACAATTTTGTTTTTTATCGCTTATATCATTTGGGTTAGGTATTATTCTGATGTGAAAAACTTCCTTTTGAAATATGTTCAAGGTGGTCGTGACGCTTAATGAAAAGCCTGCCGAATCCATTACCGTGACACTTTCTGCCACTGGTAAAAGCGTGAATGAAGAGAAACACTTGACTAAGCTAGATGACAAAACGAATGAGGACGGCGAAGCTGAGTTTAGAGTTGATGCCTGCACCAACTGTCAGACCATCAAGATAGAGGTTTGAAAAGTGGATTTCTTTCATTGGAGGTCTAATGAATTTAAAAATTTATTGAGATACTAAACTTGTTAACAAGTGTAACATTTATTGCATACAGCTTTTGACTGGGTAGTAATGTGGATAATACGTATTTATAAAGCCTTGTTTTCTGATTTACCGTAATAAAATCAGTGCGAATTGTTTCAAGTCCAAACTCTTGCTAAGTATAGTTGTCTCTATGTAGGTTAAAACCATCAAAGAAAATACGCAATCTGCTTTAGCTAATTTCGTGATGCAGCCATTCGACGCAGAAAATGGACCACTGATTGTACTTCGTCAATGGACGTCAGGAAAGCTGAAGGTAGCTATTAATCGTAACGAGAGAACTTCGACCCTTTTACTACCTGTAATGACCATAATTCACTATCATTATTACATCTTCAAGAAAAATGTGTTCAGAAGAAGTAAAAACACTGATCGTGGAGCTTAAGTAATTTGGCTCCAATGCATATAGAGCTAGTTACATAGAGCTACGAGCCAGTTGTGAATATAATGTCCATGAGACAAAGCTTCGTTTAAAGTCAACAAGCTTAGTTTTCATTCTCTACCCGTGATATCTGCCTCCCCTTTGAAAATGGAAGGACAATAAGATCGAAAGCTCTTTCGTACAAATACCAACTTAAACATTTTGAAAGCCAGTCGCGCAGACGCCATATTTGTAGTGTGATCTATTTTGATCATTAGTTGTGCTCGCAAAACATCAGTATTGGCGTTCGGTAGCCGACGGGATATCGCTTTACCCTTGAGAGGATTATGATCTGAATCCCGAGCATAGACGTTTCTGCGCCTAGTGTATGGCACGACTTAAAAGTACTTGTTGCCAGCTTTCAACCAAGCTTAAACCTTACCGTTTCCGAGTGGAATCAAGAAATTCGCGTTCATCGTCCAGCAGGCAACTCTTGTGGAGATAGATCGTGGCGCTGGAAACAACTTTAAATAGCTCAGTGTACACTGGTATTCCAGTGTTCCTTTGTATCTTCATATTGGGTCGATTAATCTGAGTGACAGATATAGTTATTGACTGAGTAATGGAATTATTGTTCGACTGATTATATAACGAAATATCTATCCTACAATCGCGCAGGTCGGTGGCAAGTCCAAAATTGAAACTTACCGGAAAGGTGATGACAAGGCAGCTGTCTTTTCGTTTGTGGTAAGTGACTTCAATATGATTCTTTGCTTTCTTCACTCCTTTTGCAATGGTTTTGCTATATCTTTGGCTAATTTAGTTTAGGTTACTTGCGTCAAAAACAAAACGGACATGAAGTTCCCAGACACCCTCATTTCTGAGACATTTCTGAGGATATGAAAAGGGGTGGGTCGTTAACTATAACGTTTGCTTGTTAACGTGTAAATGGTTTACTTTACTAGGTGGTTTCAAGGGGAAGGATTCTCTCTCATCATACTACCGAAGTGCTCGAGGACAGCTTTAAAAGCGACATAAAGAGCTTGTCCCTTCATGTCACTCCTGAAATGTCACCATCCGCCCGTTTGATTGTTTACTACATTGACAGCAGTGGACGAGTCGTGGCTGACAGCATTTTGCTCAAAGTAGAGGAAAAACTCCCAACCACGGTATGCTATGAAAATGAAATAGGCTTGAAAACTACTTGCGAGATACTAAGACTGAACTGGCTAACAAATTAATTACCAAACTGGTAGTCAGCACAGCTTAGGAGAAACGTATACCGAAGAGAATTTTTATGGGAAGTTAACAAAATAAGAGGGGAAACGGTTCACAGTTCCGAAAAAAATTAATCGTGCTGCTAATGACAGACCACTTCACAAATCGCAATCACTGGTGTACTATTTCAAGTAGCTTCAAGCTAAGTCCCAAACATGATTTAATCAACAAGATCTAAAGGATTTCTTAAAGTTTTGGCGCAAATTCCTTTGTAGTTACTTACGTGTAGCTCGACTACCAGTTTAAAACTCTTTGTGGTTTGGGGCCATGTTTACGGCAAGCGACCGAGTTGAATTTTACTTGTATGCCTTTTGCTCGGATGACATATAAGTTACTTCAACACTGTACTCTGCTCTTTTTCGTAGGTTGAGTTTGATTATGAAATCAAAGACGGAAGTGGACCTCAAAACAAAGTAGAGACACAACCTGCGAAAAATTATGTGATTAAACTCAGGGCTCCTAAAGGAACACGTCTGGGACTCTTGGGGGTGGACAAGAGTGTTTACCTGTTGAGAAATGAGAACAGACTTTCCAAAGAGCGGGTAACTTAATCAAATCATGCTTTTGTATTGACCTTTTTCGTGATGGAGGGCATGATTATCCCTTTATTTAAATACAAATGAGCCCTCTTGGCTCCGCTTTTGATGGCCTATTCCAGTCACCTTGTCAAGGGCGTAGCCCAAAGGGAACCCCTCTTTGTCAGCCTTTTTTTTTTTTGACATAAAGTAATACACGGTGTAGAGATCGACATGACAATCTGGTGTTTACCCTCTGTTTGAGACAGTGTGCCCTCTTGTCTGACATAGTGTGATCCCCCGTTCCGTTAGTCACAAGGAACACGATAGTAAATGCTGCGATAGTAACGGCAAAGCAAAATTAGCCCCCATCCTTTCTTCACGCCCTATATTGCAAGTCCATTGAGCAACGACAATTGAAGAATTAACCCTTTATCTCCCGGGAGTGATTAACACGTAACTTACCTATAATATCTGCAAATCGTATAGCAAACATTGTCATAAGTTGGAGAATTCCCCAACTTATCAGGTGGAAGCTGTTATCTTAATCTAACACCGAAACTCTCGTGGCTAACTTACAAGGAAATATGTAACAGCTGAAGGAGAGAATTAACAGTCAGATCTTGGGAAAGAAAGGGTTAAATGACGATTGGTTGCCAGCACTAACGAATTAGTTTAACACTTGTAATTTGTATTTTTGTCACTGACCATGAGGTGGTAACATAAGCGATTGAGTTTGACAACTGAAATTATGTTTATTAGTAACCTTCGATTTGTACCTTACACTAGCGATTGATCCAGTTTTAGCAACGACGATTTTTATAAAATTTAGACTAATTTCGGGCTCTCCATACTAACGTACGGCTTTCGCAACTGCAGTAACTTAGTGTGATACACTGCACTGTCAACCCTTCGATCCTTTTACAACGGTATACCACCTACTTTATCAATGAAAATTATTGCGATCTCACACCCATGCTTTTCAACTCGAAAAAGAAAAATAGACCTCGCAAAAATTCTTCCCCGAACCTTTTTTTTTCGCTAACACAGTTGTAGCTCAAAACAGCGAGGTTTATAAAAACAGTATAATATTTAACACTTTTTAGCCCCGTAATATTCGAAATTTTTCTTAATGGACTGGTTAATTTCTAGTTACCGTTAAAGAATAAATCAATTCTTGGGTTCACTAGCATAATGTCTGAAAATTTTGCCTCTCCTCTCAGGTTCTCAAAACTGCTAAGGAACTTGATCTTGGCTGTGGTGTCGGCGGAGGAAAAAATAACAGAGACATTTTTAAGGTTGGTGCCCATATAAATGACATGAAAAACGAGTAATTTAAAAGTCTTAGGTGACGCAGAGATCAACATGGATAATAAGATAATGAAAATGAAATGATAATGAATGATAAAGATAATGAAATGTCGGCTACAGGGCATGGCTTGTGTGCAGCCGACGGCTTCCTCCATGTCGGGAGAAGCGGTTGTACGTACATTTTGGCTAAAGAAAGGAAGAATCTCTCATTTGTTAAGTACAAGTGTCAAAGCCTAAAGTTGTTTTGCTACTAGATTGAAATTTACTTAAGATGAAGACATGTACTCCCCTGTTATAGGAGACTAAGAGCATGTGCCTAACCCTTTTTATTTCCCAAGATCTGTTTATGAATTCTCCCCTCTAGCTGCTACATGTTTCCTTGTACATTAGTTACAAGAATTTGGTGTTAGATAAAGATGATAACTTCTACCAGATGAGTTTGAGTATTCTCATTACCTGTTTGCTGGATAATGTCAATCAATCAATCAGTCAATCATCAATCAATCAATTGAATGATGGATTGATCGATGATAGTATAAGAAACCAAATCAATTAAAGTGGCAATCGATGACTAAGCACTTGAAGTTTGTTTGAGTTATGAATGTCGTCTTACCTGTTTGCTGGATAATGTATGGGTATTTTAGGGAGAAGTTACATGTTAATCACTTCTGGGAGCTAAAGGGTTAGCCTTATAAGAATATATTATGCCGGTTTATGAATTTAAAATGGGAAGTATATTCATTTGATTCAGTTATTTACGCATTCATCTATTTCTCTATTTTATTTCTGCCAGAGGGCTGGTGTTGTCATCATGACGGATAACTTTGTTAGTGATGGAAGAAATGGTGAGTTGATGCAAAGCCATAAAAATACAGCATAATCCTGTTTACTCGAAACTATTGTTAATTCGAAACAAGAGGTATTCCATTAAGTTAACGCAATGAAAATCTTTTCACTCTGAAAGCTCGAATCATATAACAAAAACCATTCTTTTTTTGTAAAGGACGTTCGAAAGTCGAAATTGGATAAATATATCTTATTAACCAAGCGCGAGGGCCGTACTGGGAGAATATCGGCCCGAGGTCTTGACAGTACGGACCGAGCGCAGCGAGGTCCGTACAAAAAAGACCGAGGGCCGATGTTCTTCCAGTACGGTCCCGAGCAAGCTTGGTTAATAAGAGATTTATCATACGACTGAAGTTCAAAGGGACACCAGTGTGGTATCATTCGAGACCATTCGGGACAGTGCCCGGTCCAATACTTAGAGAATATTGGACCGGCAATAGAGCATTTTGATTGGTTGATTTTAGTTATTAGCCCTCGACTGCCCGAGTCGTGTAATAATAAGTCTTTTTACTTTCTGCGCCGAAAACATACTCGACTCCGTCTGTTCGATAACAATATCAAGTTTTAGTGTTTGTTCAATGAGGGTGAGATAATCATAACACGAGAGGAAATAGGAAATTTAAAATCATGGTAAGATCTTTTTAATTACCGTAGCACGGAAAATATGCCCGACGCTAGTGTACTTTAAGATCGTCAAGTTTCAAAGGTTGTGTTCAAACGTTTTAGAAAAACGAGAGTCGTAATTTAAGATGATATCCTCCTCTTGGAATAAAAAAAACTAGTTGAATACAGTGGTGAAGCTGTGATGTCTGTTTTCTTTCCTTAGGCCATGACTGCGATGAAGATGGTTCTCGTAGAAAACGGAGATCAGTGGCAGACCCAGGTAGTGCTGAAATTAGATACGGATTTTAGTTGCCACAGTTGATACAGTCTCCGTTATTGTTGAAAGTAAAGACGTTTAGTTTGCGGCTTTGCTTAGATTACATGGATTATGGGAAACTACATTAGAAGCCGATGATGATCAAAAGGCTTGGTTCGTAGCATGGCTTAGAATGCATGATTCTTGGCAGGGAAACTTTATCAAAGACCAATGGGGGATCTGAATGAATCAGTTTTCTGAATAGGGCAAACTCTTTATAATCGCCAGTTTCGGTTTCTTTAGTAGTGTCGCTTAAGACTTAGTTTTCTTCTGTATATGAAGACGACATTCATAACTCAAGCAAACTTCAAGTGCTTTGTCATCGATTGCCACTTTAATCGATTTTGTTTCTTATACTACAAAGTTGTTGATTATTTTGAAGAACGGAAAAGAACTCGTTTTCTAAGAATTTCACCCATATAGTAGCGTTCGGGAAAGATTTCGATTAAATTTTACTTGTTTTTTAACTGCAAGTTCGTTTTTTTTCTTCAAATGTACACTTTTACTATTCGTCCAATAGTTTTAAAAATATGCTGTGAATGGGGAAGAGAAGCGGGTGGAAACGTAACCTGCGCCAAGCTTTCGTTGGACGCCAACAAAAATTTGCCTGATGACTGCAGAGAGGCCTTCTGGAACTGTTGTGTAGAAAAATATGGTAGAAATGGTGAGTAAAAACAACTTTGCCTACCAAAATACAACCCAAATGCTCAGTAAACTCTAGGTTTAAGGTGATTCCTCAGAAAAAAAAGTTATCGAACAAGCTTTTTTAAAATTTCCTTAAATGTTTCCTACCAATGTCTGTTTAAATAAAATTCATTACAAAAGATAGGTCACCGTGCTTGTTTAAGAGATACAATGGGCCAATGTTACCCCATTTATACTTCCACTGGCACTGATCACGCGCGTCATTTCAGCGGTTCACGGTACGCTTTGCGGTAGCTGGAAGAAAGTGTTTTTGAAGTAACACTTGACAAAAACTTGATAGGTTGATAGTCTCGAACAATTTGATCTATAATTTTTGGGATAATCACACAATTTTAGACGGCATCGACTCAAAACGTTCCTAGAGTGGTTGTTTTCGAGGGCATAATTTGCAGTATCGTGTTACAGGCTTCGTGCGCACGTTTAGCTATATCTTTAATTCACTTCGATGAAATTTTTTTTATTTCTTCAATTGAAAGGGGATAAATTGTACACCAAAATTAGAAAAAGTTTAAGCCTAGAAAGCTTAAAATATTAAAAACGATAAAAAGATGAATAAATGCAATTAGTAAGATAATGTGCACCTATAAAAATACTTGTCGATGTGACCACTACAATACTTCAATGAATGAAGGCTAAAAGTTCCTAAAGAAACTGTGGTGCTGCGTCGGTGGGGGTAACAAGGTAATTTTGTTATATCAACTCAGTTGAAATTACAAATTGGCCACCGAAACGAATAAAAAAGCTGACGTTTCGAGCGTTAGCCCTTCGTCAGAGCGAATGGAGGAATTGTGGGTTGTATGTGGGTTTAAATATAGAAGCGGAGATACGCCATTGGTGGGAACATAGCAACGGGAAAAACACGAATAAATTAGTGGAATGAAAAGCGTTCGTTGATACCTGTGGGATTAAGGGTGCCGATTTGAAAGATTAACTTTCAAATCTTTCAAATCGGCACTCTTTTTTATTCGTTACGGTGGCCAATTTACAATTTCAACAAACTTCAATGAATGCTTTGCCTAAACGCAGTATGAAAGTAGAACGGGATTAACAAAGATGGTACCGCGCGTCAGAGTTCCACCAAAGCGTGTTACTTTGAAGAAAAGGAGATAAATTTTTAGACCTACAATCTTATTATTTTTAATCGTCAACAGCGTTTGTTTTTTTTATTTGTCATCATATCATAACACACAATATGACTGGGAGGGTTCAGAAAGTTCCTAATGATACCTGGAAAAAATTCCAAAACAAAATTAAAAGTCTCCTCTTGTCTAAAATTTGAGATAATTTTACCGGGTGGTCTGGAAGTTGCTTTGCCAACGGATATTGACCATAAAGAGATGCCCTTAAGGGTCTTTAAGCTATGAAACGGCGTGTTTTGATAAAGAGAATGAAAGCAACTTGTGTTGGAAAAAACGTTTAGATTCCGCCTTGCTTGGAAGAAGTGGTACGGAGAATATAGAGAATGCCGAGCGGGACCTCGCAGATGCAGAAAAACGAACCGATTTTCCAGAAACTTGGATTTGGGAAGAGCTTCCTGTTGGGTAACGTAAATTTGTTGATTGTCACTAACGATTCTTGAGAGTATCGAGGGCTATAAATAAGCAAACACTCATATTCATGAAAAAAGAGAAAGAACCCAGCCTCAAAAACTTTTCATTTACCACAGTTTTTTTTGTGCATGTAACGTAATAAAAGAGATCTACTCAGTTCATAGGTGGTTAATTCTTCGTCAAGGCCACTCCTATCTGTGTAAAATTCACTTGGCATTCTTCAGAGTTGAGTATACAGCTCACTTTTCACCGGCTACTGACAGAGGAATTTACTACAGATAGATCCCCTATGACAAGCCTACTGCTAAAACTAGAGGGCCAGGATTTCATCATTTCTCAGTCGCTTCATGATGTATGAGAAATGTGACTCAGAGCTTAAATTTTTACACGGAGCGCTCTCTGAAGCGTCTGCACGCGGCTACCAATGCTCGGTACCAACCAAATGCTACAACTTCTATTTTAGGTTTTTAAGGAGAACCTCAAGAACCGACCATAGAGAGAGTTTAACAAATATAACGTGCAATTGTTACTCCTATAATAGCTTGACAAAAAATGTCCTACTTTCATACAGGGAGGATGGGACTGCAAAAATGGAAGCCACGATACCTGACACTATAACTACTTGGGTTATACAGGCCGTGGCCATCAGTAACACAACAGGATTGGGCCTAGCCTTACCACTACAGATCGTTTCCAAGAAAGATTTTTTTGTTTCGCTCAAGATGCCTTACTCAGTGAAAAGAGGAGAGCAGATTTCGATCCTGGCGACAGTTTTCAACTATATGATAAAGAATGACAATCAATACCGGGTAGGCTTAACCTAAGAGGTCATCATTTTTATTCCGTTCTGTACAAATGACAATTACTCGGTTGTACACAAGATCTAACCGAGACCACGGTTCTGCGCAATCAGTGGGCCTTCGGTTTTCCCCATAAGTAGATCGATTTAATTAAATAAATGTCTTTCCCTCCGTCAGCTTTCGGCCCTCTTGACACTGTTCACAAAAATACATTCTCAGATAAAAGGTTCGGTTATTTTGAAGTTATTTTGAAACGCAGTTTTACTGAGCGACGGCTAAAGCGTCACAAACGTTTTAAAATACGAAGTCGCTGGGTCAGTGGCCTCGACATCTCACCTTTCATAGTTCATTTTTCGAATTCGTTAGCTCACAGCCACTTTGATTTATTATTGGTTTTTACCCCAATACACTTGTCTTAGAACTGATCAGATAAAGAGAAGGTAGCGTGTGTTATGTTTGACGCTTCGAGGTACTACTTTTTTTTCGTATTCATTACTGAATGAAAAACAGAACATTTGGTCGCCCTAAAGGGAAACGTCGACTTTCGGCGGCAGTATTTACCTAGATGGGCTTGAAGTTTTTCTTACCCTAAATGCTGTATTATGGTAACATCAAGCAGTATGAAGCCTCAAAGCGCTTAATTCAGGCGTCGACCATAGGTTGTAGAAGTAAATTTCGTAAGTAATTGAGTCCGCTTTTTGTGCATAGGTGGCTGGAATTTTGGAAAATGTACCTAATACGTTGGCCGGCTGTGCTAGAATTTCGCCAAAACCACAACGTATTTTCATATTTCCATACTCTACTATCCTATTTTAGTTAGTCTGAATGAAAATACAGCTTTGTACTGTAATTAACTGAAGATGACAGAAGTTTCTGTCGAAACGTGTATTACAGACTTAAAAAGTCTAGTCGCTTTCTTTAAATTAAAATATCATGGGGAAGAAGTTGGAATTTTGCACTGAACCGAGATTAAAAGTTGTATATTTACGGTCGTGGTGGAAAAATCAAAGTAATAGGTGTCAAACTGAAAAATTATCTCCAAAGTAAAAGCATCGATCTAACTATACGAAGCAAAAAATTCCTTTAACGACAGTTTTGTGAACAAACTATGTGTAAAGTTTGAAACAAATCGAATTTTTGAACCGACGGCACCGGACCGCTTTTACAGAGACTGCGTCTTAATTACATTCTGGTTCATTGTATCTCCAAAAGGCAAAGGTATACCTCAGAGGTAACAAAGACTTCTGTTCTACTGCTGCCGATGACAGCCTTGTTTTGATAGGGATACTTTACCTTCAACCAAACGATGCCAAATCTGTTGCAGTCCCAATTATTCCCAAAACAGCAAGGGAAATAGAAATCGAAGTCTCATCCATTCTTGAAGTAAAAAAAGAGGGTGAAGTCTTTTGGGATACAAGGGGAGTGGACGTCGTACAACGAAAGCTTCTTGTTGTGGTAAGTGGGTCTATATCTGCAATATATTACTAAGAAATATTTGTTTACTTCAGATGGATGCTGGACAGTCGTTAAAAGTTGACAAATTTTAATCAAGCTAATGCTTATCATTTTGCTAAATTGGTTGCCGTAAATTGGCCAAAACTTTAACCCCCAGCCGTAAAAGCCCTCACCCATTGAGACCCTGTGTCATACGTGCGCATAAAGTTCAAGTGGTGAATGAATCCTGAAATCGCTATCGTAAATAAAGCACTTTTGATGTTAACAAGCAGAATAATGTTTTAAAAGGTGCGTTCAAAAAATGTTCAATCAGTAAATATTCTTCCGTGGAAAAGTAAGGACAATACAGAAAGATTTAACAATGTTCATACCGGCGGGCGAGATTTGATATTTATAGCCTTGTACGTATAATGCACGATCCTCGCAGGAGAGAGCGCTATTTATGCAATAGCGAAAATCAGACCCGAAAAAAATCAGGCCTGTACGGGATTCGAACCACTGACCTCTGCGATACTAGTGCACCGCTCTACCAATTGAGCTAACAAGCCAACTGGGAGTAGGCCGTTAAGTTGATTCGTAATAAACCCGTGATGATAAATCAGATACGATGAATATATGAAGTTCATATATTTTTTGAACTGCGGTTATAGATACGTATAATGCACGATCCTCGCAGTAAAGAGCGCTATTTATGCAATAGCGAAAATCAGACCTGAAAAAGGTCAGGCCTGTATAGGATTCGAACCACTGACCTCTGCGATACCAGTGCAGCGCTCTACCAATTGAGCTAACAAGCCAACTGGGAGCAGGCCGTTAAGTTGATTCGTAATAAACCCTCTATAACCGCAGTTCAAAAAATATATGAACTTCATATATTCATCGTATCTGATTTATCATCACGGGTTTATTACGAATCAACTTAACGGCCTACTCCCAGTTGGCTTGTTAGCTCAATTGGTAGAGCGGTGCACTAGTATCGCAGAGGTCAGTGGTTCGAATCCCGTACAGGCCTGATTTTTTTCGGGTCTGATTTTCGCTATTGCATAAATAGCGCTCTCTACTGCGAGGATCGTGCATTATACGTATCTATAACCGCAGTTCAAAAAATATATGAACTTCATATATTCATCGTATCTTATAGCCTTGTCTTAAAGACGGAAATTGCTCTTGCAGAACTACACAAGACACTGAAGCATGTTGAAGTAAAGTGCTGCTTCGGTCCTAACTTATTTCAGCATACTTTCAGTGTTATCCTTTTTTTCTTTTGAAACATATCACCAGCGCTATATTTCTGTCTTTTTCCTTATTTCATAACTTGTAGCCAGAAGGAAAGGAAAATCGTACCTCGCGATCTTTTACACTGGATCCTAAAGGTAATTCCATTTGCACTCCCCTTCTCCGTTACCCTCATGCCTTTGAAATTGGTGTAAAAAATTAAAGTTCAGAAGAGAAATAAAATTGATAGAGGGAGCCTGAAAAGATTAATCGTGAAATAGAAAGGTCTGATTATAATTGTACGCTCCTTTGCTCAGCGTAGTTTAAATGAAATATTGAATTTTGACTATTCATTTGTTATACTTTGGTCGGTCGGTCAGGTGGGCGAAGGGAAACGAAACATTTTGTGGGAATGGCCCGCCGTAATGATTATTGATACGGATGTTCGTTGCTTTCACTCGCAGGAATTCTCAACGATGACACTAATAATGGAGAACACAGTTCAACCATATCACCAAGGAACATTACAAGTATGCTTTATCTCAAATGTTTTGGAGGAGACTATTTTGTTGGCGCGAAATTGAAGGGCATGACTACAGAGCGTGTCCGGTTCTGTTTGAAATGCTCGTAGCCTTGTTAGTGTTGAACTATAAATCATCAGTCTCGAAACAAATGTGCGTTGCCAGCAACTACTCGGCTAACAAGTTCCATGAGATCCACGGGAACAATTCTTTTACTAATGCTTTTGTAGGTTTTCTAGGAAATGATTCAATTTTAGGAAATCTCTGGGCCAATTCATGGGGTACTTTTTGAATCTACTTTGTTGGAAGAGTTTCTAACACTCCTTGTAAAGATAATACTTCTTTATTCCTTTTCTTAGGAATTCAAAACAACTTGTTAGCTTGGGGTATAACACAACAACTTTAAGAAACTGCCGGTTTTCAACTTATAAAGGCGACAATTAGCAAGCTCTCAGTATTTGACCAACGTCAAATTGATCTAAAAAAAATAATAATCTGAAAAGAATCGAAAGTATAAGAAGTAGGAATTTCCAGGAATACAAATACGATACTAACTTTACCTAGATCAAATTACTCTCTCATTTATCAAGCATATTATCCTAATTAAAATATATCTTACCGCAAGATATTTGAATTACCTTATGCCAAGTTGTAATCACCGTAGAACTAGGCATCTGCTTCCATGTCAAACTACCGTAGGATTATAAGCCATAATCACTAACGGCTTAGTACAAACTTATGTACAGTCCAATGGACTAATTTCTCACAGAAAGTAAAGGTAACAATTAATCTACTTACAAAGTAAGATCGCCATCTAGATAGGAATCTATCAACTGCCTACAATATTTTTTTAACTGAGTGGCTAATACTAATATGTTATTTCCATTCATGTTCCCAACGCCAAAGGTAATGAAGTTCTTTTAATACTACTAAACAAGATCTGTTATCACCAAATGTAATGAAGCTCTTGTAATGCTTCTAAATAAGATATGTTTTGATTTAATTGTTTAACAATATCAGTGAGGTTGTCAAAAGGAGTCTTCGTTTTTATCGTGTGCTAATATGTATACTTCTAAAACCTGATATGAGTAAATGTTACTTATTGTAGTTGACTTCGAAATTCCCCCAAAGGCAATAACTGGTTCAACTGGAGCTGTCGTGTACTTGACCGGTAAGAAAAATTTTACATTTAGAATTTAGTGAATAATTGGAGAAATGATATTATGGAGTTTTCAAAGTATTTCCTGTCATAAGATGTTTAACCTTTAAATGTCAGACAACCTAGATGAAAAAGCTATCGTTTATTTATATTTATTGAGACTTAAAGGGGTAATAGTGTCGATCAAAGTGGACCCACAACATTTTTAAATCAAATATCATAAGTTGAACAGCATAAAAAAATTTGACATATTAGACGAGGAATATGCTCTGCTGACTCAAGGATTGCCCGGAGCACGAGTTTGACAGTGATTGGGTTCCGTCCTAAATTGATTATACTACACTGAATCTGAGATTTCTTCATTGGCGATCAAACGTCAAACTACTCTTGATGAATTCCAGGTAAACTTTTATCTCTTGAGTTAGTTTGCGCAGTGCCTGCGCAGTGCCTGCGCTGTTTACTGAACTGTGATTGACCACTGTCTAGGCCATCTAAAATAGATAAGGGAACTGGGGCAAAGTCGTTGGCCGGAAAACCGTGAACTTTCAGTATATCATCTTGCCCGAAAAAGAAAGAACAAAATACTGTCGCTATGATCAAGTGGAAAGCCACAGAAAAATGACTATAAGAGACTCACTCGATAAGAAATCGAGTGGAAATGAATCACGATTGTTCTAATATTCCATTCCCATTAGGAAACCTTCTTGGTCCAGCCATTAACACTACTATCGAAGGTGGTCTAGAAAAATTCTTCCGCCAACCGACAGGATGTGGGGAGCAAACGATGCTTTATCTTGCTCCAAACGTGTACGTGCTGGAATATCTAACGAACACAAAACAGATCAGCGACCCAAATGCGGAAAGTGCCTACCGCTTCATCCAGTCGGGTATATTCAGTTTTCGTTCTTACACATTTGGTTTTTTTTTCTTAATTCTATTCTCCTCTAAAGGTCCTTTGAGCGAGCAAGCTTTATTAAAGTTCTTTCCTCTAACATTGTATAAGATTAAGCCGTTTAAATTTTGGATACCAGGTACAGAATTCGCCGTGCATGAAAGCAAAATACTCACCTAGGTGACTGCGGTATAAGGTCATTTGAAGCCATACATGTACTTGACTTTCTTTGATGATTTGGACGATTTTAGTGTGCGTTGATGTACCACGCCATCAGCGAAGCGATCTTGTACCTCGTAATCGTAGGTTTAAAAAAAGGGCGAGCTGTTTGATAAGGATAGTTCAAAATGATTTTACATTGCCTTTGATTCCATTTCAAAGAATGGTTGTAAGCTGTAGTACGTTAGTGGCGCTGGTCTCCCTTTGAAGACTGATTCTGTAATGTAATGTAACTTTACATAAGGCAAGGGCACTTGAGAAAATCTATCAGTAGCTCATCTCTCGTGTTTTAGTTAACCTTTACTAAACTGAACGAATCTACAGGTATTTCTAAATACACAGAAAAAGCTTATTGTATTTTAACAAAACAACCATGAAATTTGCGGTACATTTTCAGGTTATCGACGTGAATTAAACTACCGTCGCAACGACAGGTCATTTAGTGCATTTGGAAATGAACGGCCAGGAAGCACATGGTTTGTAAACTTTCTCATTTCCATATTGACCTGTCCTTTCATCAGTCTAGTTTAATAACATCGAAAATCTTCCCTGTAACGTTCATAGAAACCTCCCGTTTCTCGGTACGTCCTAACTTGTGTATTTTTAAGCATGCGACACCTATCGGTTCCTCGATTTCAGAACGTTCTTGTTGTTACAACCGTTTTTATTTTAGGTCAGGAAAAGTATTCTCGACTGGGAAGAAAAAGGGAGGTAAAGTGTTAAACGAAAAGTTAGAGATCACAGGGCTCAGGCGGAACAAAATATATTACAGAGGTGGTAAAATTGATATGAGCTCGGATTGGCGTACTCTCTTTGGAAGTGTTTGTACCACACAAGTCCGTCCATTTCCAAACGGCTGGCTGCGAGATTACCCAGTAGATAGCGTTTAAACTTACCTGTGAATGGCTCTAACTCGCTATTGTAGTCAATTCGGTGTTAAGACATGATCTAAACTCTTACGTGCGAAACACTGGTTAGACGACGACTTTCGAAAACGCTGTTAAAACTTCGTTTGAATAATGAGCCATATATCTCAAAAACTTAAGTTACTTTTTTCTACATATGCGACCTAGGTTGACTGCTTTTGTGATGAGGGTCTTCTGCAAGGCCAAAAAGTTTTTAGGTGATGAAATGGATGAAAGAATGCTCTGCCAATCTGTGGGCTGGCTGGTTGAAAACCAACGCAGCGATGGAGCTTTCCCCGAAGTTCACCATGTCATTCATAGAGAGATGGTGGTAAGATGTTCAAAGTCTAGGAAGTAATACATGTTGATATAGTCTCAACCCAAAATTGAACAAAGGGCAAATTACGTTTTTGCTGCGATAAAATGAGGTGAAAGTAGTTTATCATGTTGGGAGAGAAGAGGTGATCCGCAAATCCACATTTAGTTTCGTTGGTTAAGGAAGTGTTTGAGAATGTTGAAAGGGTCATTTTGAACGGAGCGTTTTGTTATTATGAAATTAAGCTCGATAATCCCGAGCTCTATGATTTTTATTCCTCTCGAATCGAAACGGCAGCTTTTTTCGATTATACATTTGGTGGCATTGCCCAAAATTAACGAAAAAGCAGGGATGAAAAAAATACTAACACAGTTCTTTGATATTTCATTTTGATGCAACGCCAAGAATAATTTTTTTTCTCTTGAGTGTTGATACATAATGGCGAACTTCTCATCTATTTACTTAATTAATGGTTTATGTTTCAGATACTCATTGATACTCATGCCTATTTATATCTCAGGGGGGTGTATACAATTCAGAGGGAGACGTTGCCATGACAGCCTTTGTGCTATCTGCTCTGGCGGAATGCAAATGCGAAGTGGTATGTATAAGATCTAACAGTGATGCAATGCATTGCAATGCCTTACATTATGGTCAGAACAAATGCTATGCAATGTAATGAAATACAAACAATTGCGATCCAATAGTACCAGGGGGACACCCCTCGTAGTTGCAATTTTCTTTTTGATTTTGTCTTGACGAGAAGTACTGCTTCTTTGTATTTCAATGCCAACCAAAAGAATTTAAAACAAGCTAAACTTCGGCACTATTTTCCATACTAGGTTTCACAGGCGCATGTACTTAGGGCCACAAACTTTTTGGAGAGTCAGTACAAAAACCTGAATAGACCTTACAGTATGGCTCTCGTGGCTTATGCTCTGGGCTTGGTTGATAGCAGGGAAAAAGTAAATGCCAATGATCGACTTCTACAGAAGGCCCAGTATGATGACGGTTAGTTTTGCTTTTGGTTTTTATTAACTTCTTAAAGTGATATGAGAATATACATAGACGTAGATGGTGTGGTCTGTATTCATTGATTCCATCTCTAATGCTGATTGTTGCGCCCGCTTATCACAAAGCGATAACGTCTTTGGCAAACGTGACATCTTTATTATCACATAGATTGTGAAATCAGCGATGTAGGTTGAACCAAGATTTTAAACTTTGGTGATTGAGGGGAAAAAGTGCAACATCTAGGGTGTCACAAGACGAATTGTGCCCGTGAGGAACTCTTACTACCTTGCATTTGACGAAATTTTCCACGCGCTGTGGGATTTTTCTTCGCCACCGGAAAATTGATCATTATTATTGAAATCGATTCTTTTGGGTTGTAACTCGAGAGTTAATCTAAAGCGAGCATTTCTTATGTTCGACGGGGTTTACTTAAAAGAGCTGATATCGTTTCCGGGATTCAGCTGTCTTGGCTGTTCGCATAAGCCCAGAGATAAGGGGAATCGATAGTTTTGTGTTGGCAAGAAAATTAATAGAAATGAGAATAAAAAAGCGGAAGAAAACCTTTTAAGCGATTCAAGGACCGGAACAAAAACAACAACAACAAAACGTTAGCAGTTTTTGTAAACATCTTAACAAGTTACGGTTCTGTCTGACAAGGCGATCGTCTAATCTCTCATATTTTAAAACTTCAGTTAAAAAGACTCGGCACTGGAACTCTGGTGGAAATGCACTGGATGTGGAAACCGCTGGTTATGGACTAATGACTCAACTGCTCCTCGGACGCACCAGTTCTGCAGGTCCAATTGTGACGTATATAACAAGTCAGAGGCAGGGTGGTGTCGGATTTGTATCTACACAGGTGAGAGAAGTTTATAGATCTATTCCTCAACCTACCTCTTTCTCTTTTTTTTCGTATGAGCATCGAGAAAATATGATCTGTTTCACCGACTTTTTCACAGGATACAGTGGTAGCTCTCCAAGCTCTTGCATTGTACAGCGAAAAAACTACAGGAAACATGTTAGACTTAAAAGTTGAAGTGAAGACGGAAAATGGGGAAGTCCGGGAATCCCATCGTATTAACTCAGAAAACGCACTTCTACGCAGGGAAGTCAAGGTGAGGAGGAAAGCGTCCGGAAACACTCAACAGAAGTTCTACGATGATAAATCCTAGATGCAACATGTCCTGGATTTTAACTTATTTATTTTGAATTTTCAAGGATATAGAGGGCATAAGGTCCATAACCAAATTAAGTAATAGAAAATATTGAGGAAGAATAATCGTTTAACTCAAAAGCTGATCAACGAGAGTACATACATACATACATACATAACTACATACATACATAAATACCTACATGCATTTTATTACTTGATTTCATATTTACAGGTTTTTACGCGCCCACAGTTAACTTGAGTGCTATTCTAGGTGGGTCGCATGTTGAAAATGAAACAATTACAACTATTACAAAATTAAGGACTAAATAAGGATATAACATGTTGCCAGCTAGATGACTCGCTAGAATTATTTAAAAATTTAAGAAGAGCTGGACCTCTAAAATGATTTGTTGAGAGTCTTCGAAAGTACGAATGTTATAGAATTTTCTTTTTATTGCCTTCTTCTTTCATTCCAAACTTTTGTTCCAATTCTGGGGTAATAAAGTAGTCGAATTGTTAGTCTAGAGCTTTTTTTTATTAAAATTATTAGAAGCAGAAGAAAGGGTGATATTATTGGAATGATATTAAGGGTGATATTAAGGGTGATATTATTGGATCTAGGAGATATCTGGGGAGAGTTATTGAATGGGGTAAGGTGCATTTCTTTGTATGATGACAAACACTGGCATCAGTAAATAGACAAATTGCATGCTGGTTTGTATCAGAAGAGAGACACCGCCTTCCCACCTGGGCTGATGCTAGGTAATGATACCTGTCTGGCTAGAATAGGTTGTGGACCAAAAAAGGACCTCAGATTTTGCTGATATGAGGAATGTTTGACGATAAAAAATTGCGATAAATTATTTCTAAAACTATAAAAATACATTTTAAAAAGGCGGCTTAAAAAGCCAGTCGACTATGTCTCGACGTTCGCAGAACGCCATTATTATCAAGAATAATGTGACTGTAAGAGGCTTAAATACTAAACAAAAAGTTTTGCCCGTATAGAGTTCACTTGTACGTTCAACTTCGGTTGACAGTGCGATTAACTTTTCATTCATTTAATTTTTGGTAGTTTTTGCATTCCGTCTACTTCTCATTTCAGATACCAAAGGGAGCTCTGCCTGGTAAACTCTTCGTGAAGGCGGAAGGAAGTGGTGTGGGACTTTTGGAGGTAACATTATCTCGTTTTTCACGTAAACTGAGAAAGTAACCAGGATAGAATGTTTGAAATATTCAGCCTTTGTAAAAACTTTTAAAACGCCTTTAAGTGTGACGTGATATTTGTTTCATATGTAAGCCCGATGTTGGTGGATTTTCTAATTTATAGACATATTTTTGTATTTCAAAAATGCCAATTCTCGTTGTTACGATTACTAAAGACTACTCGGAGTTCATTTGGAATTTAAAATGTTTCAATTTAAGGTGGAAACTCGTTACAATCTTCCCTCGTCAAGGGGTGAGATCTGTATGTTTGAATTGAGGGTAAAAGTCGTTGAAATCAAAGGAGGTGAAAAGGAAGATCTACTAGGACCCATGCAAAGCGATGCCGAAGACAAGGAACGTCAGGAAGAGGAAAAAAAAAGAAAGAGAAACAGTAAAAGAGGAGGAAAACGTAGAAATAAAGGAAAACGATGTAAAAGAATAAGAGATAAGAGAAAGAAAAAGCAATGTAGGAACAGGGGAAATAGAAAAGGTAACCCCGAGACAGTCAAGAAGCCTCAACGTCCACAGAAATACCAGCCAGTCAAGAATATCAAACTGAAAGTCTGCGCTAGGTGAGAGAAACCTTCTGTATACGCTAAGTTTTCACCTCTATCCAACTTATCGTTCTGTGTGAAACCTGCATGAGGTCGAATTTTGATAAATTGTTCAATGCAACCCTGAATTGCTTTGGTAAAAAAAAAATAGTCGCTAAAAATTGCAATCTTTTGGTTGACACCCTCCTTCTCAGTCAGAAACACGCAAAATAAAGCTACTCATGAAATTCGCTCTTCTTGCGCTTCAAGCAAGTTGCGTGTACTAACTATGAGCTTGCATTGACTAATTTTGATGTTCACTTTTGCTGCGATGTTTTTTTTTAGGTATAAGAAACCAGGAAACACTGGAATGGCTATCATGGATATTGGCATCTTAACCGGATTTAAACCCAACAAAAAATCCTTAGCTAAGGTAGGTTGAGGGGTAATGACGGTGGTGGCGGTGACAGGATACACTGCCAATACTTCAGATTCCCATACATTGGTATCTTCAAAGAATTAAAACAATAGAAAGAGAGAGAGATAGAGAGAGAGAGAGAGAGAGAGAGAGAGAGAGAGAGAGAGAGAGATACGGTTTAAAGTCCTGGCCTTTATATGCAACACAGGTATGTCTTTATAAAAGGTATTGTTTTTAAGCCCGCCGGGAAACAGGCATTGAGTGGAAATGTTGGATTACATCAATTGTTTTGCAAATCAATTGTTTTGCAAACCAAGAACATCTTTCAGATCTGAAAACGAGCGAGGAAAAATATCTGTCTGAAATAGAGCCAGGATTTTATAAACCGGGAAGCAAACTCAGCAAATAATTGCGAAGAGTGCTCTTTCCTCGAGGGAAAGACATCATTGTTTATGAAGTCGTAACAATGGTAAAAGCAGCAATAGCTTGGACATTGGTGCTGTCATTATTCATGTAAATGTAGCTGTTTGTTTGTTTAGGTATCAGTGATATATGGTATATTTTGTACCTTTGACAGCTCAACACCAGCGTGCCTCAACTGGATATGATTGAAAAATCGGACAGATCCCTGGTTCTTTATCTCAGTGAGGTAAAATATCATTCAGAAAACAAAAGGATGATTTAACTTACCTTCGATCTCTTAAATGCGCTCCATCATTATCAAATTGTAAGATCTGGTATTGTAACATTGTTTTGACCATCTTGCCTGCCCTCTTCTGTCATTTATTTCAGATTCCTAGTACCCGTGAGCTATGTGTAAGTGTTCTGTTTGAAAAAGAGTTTTACGTTGGTGCAGTTCAAGCAGTACCGGTGAATGTGTATGACTATTATGAACCAGGTTAGGATTAATGTTTATCAAAACAAAAATTATTGAGAGGTTTTTGCCGTCAACGTGTTTAAATTTCGATGGGATCCAGGGATGTACGCCCTGCATGAATTTAGATTAAAAATCAGGAATAGGAGTGAAACGAAGCAAAGGATTTACAAACAAGTGATTTAATTCTCAAATAGTAGTTCTTCCAATAAATTTGCCGTGTTGCAATTAAAATTTTACCCTATTTTTTTCATTTTCCATTTTCATTTAATTAAACTATGGTAATGAATAGAAATGAAAGTAAAAATAAACTCAAACTGGTTTCAAAATTTTACACAATAGATAAATCCGGCAGAAACACAACAGCTGTCGTAAATTCTATTTTTAAATAAAAGAATGTATTTTTCCGGACTTTAAACTTTCAGAAGTTATTTAACTCGCAGAAAAATGAAAATGACAGAGATAGAGGTCTGCAAAATTCAGGCTTCGACGAAGCTCGACCTAGTGCCTCCTTGTCTGCCATACAGGCTTCAACATCTGAAGTTATTTCGCCATTTTTTTCTTCATGAGCACAGATCAATCCTGCAGCGTATTTTATGGACCCGAAAAGTCAAGTCCGTTGAGGTTGGGAGTCTGTGATATTGGCTCCACTTCGTGCAAATGCACTCAAGGTACGAATTCTGAAGAAAAGAACAGTTTTGAGACAATTTGTTCGGCGATCCTCAGGTAAAATTATTTCAATATTATATTATTTCTTTGCAGATAAATGTCCTCAGGATGATCCCCCGATTGACAACATTGACAAGCTGATAAAAATTGCCTGCACCAATTACCAATACAGTAAGATAAAGGACATTGTTTACCGTCGTTCACATACTTTTCCATACTTTTCCTGGCGTGAAGTTTCACCACGTCATTAACAACTGTTTTCCGAAGCAAATTTACATCACATTTGATGTGATTATGGATAGGGTTTCGTAAGGGGAG